CAAAGTTTCCTTACTTTAGCAAAGGAACACCAGTCTCCTCTTGGCTTATATCGAAATCCTCCCACATTCTTCTTTACAAATCCTCGTTTTGTACTTCTAATAAGTGACCGTTTTTTTGTTTTGATTTTTATGGATGGGCGCTTTTTATTTAACTTCTTTTTGGACTGATGCATGCAACACCTAAATGAGTAATTTATGGGCTAATTTTCATTTTTGGGTGAACTAACCCTATAAAATGTAATGTAATACTTAATTTTTGGAATCAGTGTACGCAATCCAGATCGCATGTAATCAGTGCAGATGAGACATACGTGTTCACATTCTAGTGTTTTATGTTTATATGCAGTCAGAACCAGAAAGACGGTTGTGAGAAATGCGTGTGCGTTCACTCTGTGTTTGGGGATGGCAGTAGTTTGCGGTGTGATGCTGTCATTGCTCTCGTCTTCAGAGCGCCGGCACGTTTGAGGAGGTGGAGAAGCCGAGCACGGCGTATCAGAAGACCCGTCCTGTGGAAGCAGGTCAGGAGAAACACACACGCTATAATGAATCAATCACAGTCTGTAGAGGTTTGAATGAAGACGTGCTGTGCTCTGTTCAGCTGGCAGCGGCGCTGGAAGTATTAAAGCTCGCTTTGAGAGCATTGCGAAGCAGAAGGAGGAGGAGGACCGGAGGAGAGCAGAAGAGGAGCGCGCTAGACGACAGGCCAAGGAGAAGCAGGAGCAGGAGGAGGCGCGCACAGAGCAGAAGGTGTGTTTCTGACGGTCAACACACGCCTGTCTGTTTGCTGAGAAACAATATGATATTACTAGAGTTGGGTATCGTTTGAATTTTATCCATTCCGATTCTTCTTATCGATTCCGAAGTCAAACATTTAGATATCAAACATCTTTTTGCAAAGCATTTAATTGCTGCTGAATACCATAAACACAAAAATCAGCCGGCTGCATAAAAACCAGACTCGATTAAGAGCTGCAAAATAGAGCGGCGTGATTCTGGATAACTTGAGACACTTTTTTTTTTAAATGTAGGTTGTAGTTCTCTCACAATTCTGAAGAATAAAAAAATATTAGACCATGAAACAAAATCTCATGGACTTTATGAATGGAATGATTCACTCAAGATGTACTCGTTTCATTACTGGCTGAATCAGTGTTTTTGAATGAATCTCTCGAATGATTCAAAGACAAATACATTTTTAACAGCCCCTTTTCGCCACCTACAAAAAAAAAAAGATGTGTGCACAGAAATTGATAGGTGCAATTGAAATTTAAGTTTTGCAACAAGTATCTGATTCCTGATCTTAAGTATCTGATTCTGGAATTAGAATTGATTTTCGATTCCCAACCCTACATACTACTCTTATATTAGAGCTGGCCTGAAATAAATCATATTTCTTCTCTGAACTCTGAACTTCCCACACCACCGAAATAAAGAGATAAGAAGTTGGTGGCAGAACAGAAATTGTGCATGAAACGCATAGAGTCTCCTGTGTATCACTAGCATGTTACATTTGAATGCGACAGTAAACACGATTTGAATACTATAGTAATTTGCAGCCCCTTTTCGCCACCTACAAAAAAAAAAAGATGTGTGCACAGAAATTGATAGGTGCAATTGAAATTTAAGTTTTGCAACAAGTATCTGATTCCTGATCTTAAGTATATGTACCTGTATCACACTTTTTGTTTTTTTTAAATGTATCCTAGTTTTAAATTAATCACAGACGGTTGTCATTCACTGTATTGCGTCAACAGACAGATATATTGCGTTAAAATGTTTTAAAATGTAATTTTTAGTAGTATTTACTGTGGAGGCAGAAACAGTGATGAGACTGGACCGTCTCAATCTAGTGTTTAATGCAGAGCAGTCCAGACTAAAGACTGGTTTGAGAAGCTCCCAATGTAACTGGCGCCCTCTTGTGGACTGTTGATTTAAAAATCTGCTGTTCACTGATCTTGTTTTCTAATCTAATAGAAGTAGTTTCTTTCGAGTTCAAATTTTACAAAGCGATTCAGCAATTCATCTTAAATAGATTGATCTTAATTTTGTGTGTGTGTGTGTTGATAATGATTAACAATAGATACGCTTTCTTGATTGCTTTGATAATGATCTTTAATCATTAACATCCCTACTCAAAACTTCATCCTTGAAGTGCTCTGACTAGTTTCATACAGTGCTCAAAATTCTGATTACTGAATCCATTTTTATTTGTTATTTTAAATAGCTTTTAATAGTTTTTTTTTATTGTTATAATTTTTTTTAGATATTTTTATTGTTAGTTTTGTTTTTATATAGTTTGAATCTCTTAGTTTTATAAACCGGATAGTTCCGGTCCTTGATTCTGATTGGCTGAGCCACGTTCGAAGCTGTTGTAAATGACTCTACAAAGTAACATACACCTTTGTTTACGTTTGTGTGTTGCTCGGCAACCACTTTGTTGCAACCACAACTGTTTCTGAGGAGCTACATTGTTTGGTGGAAGAATACTGTTTTTATTAATATCATTACACTTTATTTGCTCTGTTTTATTTTGTGAAACCTTACTACGTATATGGAATAACCGTTATATAAAAGCAATAATCCCCGTGAAGCCGTGGTTTACAGTGAATTTATAACGGCTTCGCGTCGTGCCTAACAACGCCCCTTAGCTGTTATAAATTCACTGTAAACCACGGCTTCTTGGGGCTTATTAGTTTATTAGTTTTATTAATTTTTTACTTTTTAAACGTGGTAACTTGCTGAAATAAGTATATAGTTTCAGTTAATGTTTATTTTATTTCAAGTACTGATTTTTTATTTTATTTTATGGTTTTAGTTAACAATAATTGTCTGCTAGTCACGTAAGCACACGATTTGTAAAGGCCATGAAATGTGGCCATATAGTAGCATCTTGCCTCTTGTAAAATGATTATTAATACATTTTGAACACTCCTGCACTAATGCGTCCTTTAACGAACTTTAGCTTGTCATGATGTATCATGACCCCACGCGAGGGCTTTGTGCTGTGTTTGAGTACGCGACACATGACTGGCACAGAATGTGTGAGTGAATCATGTCTGATGTGCTTCTGATGCTGTCGTGTGAGGATGAGGATGAGGATGGTCTGTGTTGTGTTGGTCAGGTGGAGAACGGTGCAAACGTGTACGAGGTGGAGCCGGTCTCCGCAGAACCCACATATGAAGAACCGGTCCAGGAAGACCTGTACCAGAACCCTGAGCCGGACGAGCAGAACCAGACCTCAGGTGCGCTAAATCCATTTTACAATCTGTGTTTGTCCAAGCCTGACTGACTCTAGTAAGCCTATAAAGAGTTCACCTCTGTCTTCATCTTCAGCCGCTGGAGCAGCAAGCGTTACCTGGTGCAGCTTTAAGCGTAAGCTCCTGTTTGTGCAGGTGTGTGCTCTCAGTGCTTCGGTGACGTGTGTGTGTGTGTGTGTTTCAGGGGCTCAGTCGTACGAGTTTGGAGAGGATCTCGGCGTGACTGCCGTGGCTCTGTACGACTATCAGGCTGGTGAGTGAACAATCTGAGGAGTTTGACTTCACAAACTGTGGCCTTAAACATTTTGCAGTGTTTACGCTGTATGTGAGTGGCATGACACCAAAAATAGATAATTCCTGTTATACCAAAATAATAATAATTAAAAAAAAAAACATCAAGTAAACGGGTACATTATGGCTAGATTATATGTAGATATGTCTGAATCTGCTTTTTAAAAAAAAGTTTTTGTTTGAAGTTTTTTTTTTTTTTTTTTTACAATTGAAGCTTGAAGTGTTTGCCAAGGGATTAAAACATAGAATTGTGCGATCAAAAGTCACAATTACCTTTTTGACTTCTTTTCTTGCAGTTCTGAGAGAAAAACTCATAGTTGGCAAGATATTGAAAATATTGACAGAATTGCAAGATAGTTAAATTTTTTACTCTGTGGTGTAAAAAAGTCAGAATTGTGAAGTTTATAACTTCCAAGAAAATTCTAAGAAAAAAAAGTTTAAACTGTACAAACTAAAAAAAGATACAAATTAAAAAAAAAAGATATAAAAAGTCAGAATTGTGATAAAGTAATTTACTTTTTTTTATTGTTCAATGGCTGAAACAAGCTTCTATAGTGTACACTATAAAAAAAGAAGGAAAAAAAAAATATATATACATTTTTTGAGTATATAAAACAATAATACTGTATTGTATAGAAGCCCGTTTCCACCACTGAATAAAAAAAAGGCAATTGCATGAATATATTTAACAGTTCTGAGAAGTCCGAATTGCGAGATATAAACTCACAGTTGTAAAAAAAAGTCAGAATTGCGAGATAAAAAATAAAAGGAAATGTGTTTTTTTTTTTTTTATTCAGTGGCGGAAACGGGCTTCCATAGTATTGCTCTTTCTACTTCCAAATTTCACACTTTCACATGTAGTTCTGTTTGTTTCATTGCATAAAACGTGTTTTCCTACAAGAAGGGAGTCATGTAGCGTGCCTCTGTTTCTCTCCAGCGGGAGACGACGAGATCTCCTTCGATCCGGATGACGTCATCACCAACATCGAGATGATCGACGAGGGCTGGTGGAGGGGCGTGTGTCGGGGCACATACGGACTCTTCCCAGCCAACTACGTTGAAGTCCGACAGTAGACTCGCTCCATGCGCTCTTTACACGGCGGACGTCGCTGAAGGAGAGTCATGCTTCCAGTCCATTATCAGCCCTGCTTTCTCTTCTGTCACTGTAGCATGTCGAGCGTTCGCCGGTCATTCTGCTTCCTTCAGCTCAACTCTCACTTCCTGTTTCACGTCAGCAGGTGTGTGCGCTTTACTGGATCCAAGAGATTTTATGACACATCTGAGAGTTTCACTCACACACACATATATACATCAGTATGTGAAATAAGAGACCAGAGATCCGAGATCTTCTGGCATGTTTTAGAGAAATAATGTCATTTGTCATGAACACATGCGGCTTCTTAAAGCTGCATCCGTACGAATGCTTTTAGCTCATTTCAGTGTCTTTTTGCAGTGTTGGAATAGGGATTAACTGAGTTAAGTTTGAAAATATGAATGATCATAATCAATGAAGGCCAAAATATAATGCCATAATCCGTCACTGCTAGAATTCTGCATCACGTCTGAGTACAGGATGAACAGACATTCCATCGCAGTGTTTGAAATCATTCATAAAAATCACTTTGGTGGTATTTGAAGGTTGTGTATTAAAATCAGATGTTAATGCGTTATGTGGCGTGAACTGTATGTCTGTCTGATTTGCATCGTCTCTCGTGCTTCTCCGTGTCGATTCATCTGGACTCGCTCTCGATGTGCTGGCAGATTGATCTTTCTGTGAGTGCATGACATTTCTGTCTGTGACGCCGAATTATATCGAATGATCTGCTGTTAAATGACAATCCACACAGGAGCAGAGGAGTTAATACTGTTTAAAGGCTTAGCAGCAACTAATGACATAATCTGTGTTTTGCTATTTTAGTTAAGTATCTTTTTCGAACAAATTGTCTGTGCTCATCTATACTGGCTCTCTTTACAAGGATGTTTTATAAGAAATATCATTTAAGAATAAAAAAATAAAACTAGTATTGTTAGTATTTTTCACAGTCCATTATGTAGCCACACCCTCACTTTGTTTCTCTTACAGTAGCTTTCATCAAGTGCATGTGTTTGTGAGACGCATTGATGCACAGGAACAGAGCTCAACTCCAGCAATATTTATTTCTTTCAGATTCGTTTGCCATACAAGGTGTAACTGCGCTCAAACTCGCAAATCCTACTGTTTTCTTGGTCACCGCAATGAGTTACTAATTGCATTTTAGAAGATCTTACAGCAACATTAACAATGTGAACACAAGTCTTTACATGTAGTTAGCAAAGTAAAGCAAAATAGGTTGAAGTCAAAGGGGGAAAAATCATAGCTAAACAATAAGGGATTGACAGTTCTATAGATAAACCAGCAGTGTGTTTTATCAGGTGAACATTGTGCTTCTTTAATGATGGGGTGCATTATCTAAATACATACAGACTGCATTATCCATAGTATAAATATATTGCTTTTTTGGATTTGCTATATTAAGAATCTAACATAGATACACATTTTATTCAAACATTTATCTTTTTTGGCAAACCACACTTAAGTGGGAGCAATACCATTAAAATTGCATTTAGAAAAGGCAATATGATAATATAAATCGAAAATACTCTCTTCTATTGTATGCTATCCAAAGATGATCTATTTTGTAAAATATCTATTTTCACAGTAGCAGCAGTGTATTGGCAAACCTTCGTTCAGGAAAGGCTTGCGATTTTTGATTTCTGGCCCGCATTTTAAAAATATTGCTCTATATTCACTCGTGCTCAGAATCTCAGCAGCAGGTGATAGCAACTATATGTTTCAGAGACATTATCACTATCAGTACTGCAGTGAGTGGCACATACAAAAATCAAAATTTAAAAAGTAATCATTTACTCAATTTATATAGTGTATGTTGGCTAAGAAACATGGTTCCAAGTTTTATAATAACAAAAACTGATTAATACAGCCTCTGTTTACTGCCCGACAAAGAAAGAAAACCAACTTGGAATCTCTCCAAAACTGTAACTTCCATTAAAATAGGGTGAATTTCCATTTAATTCCAAGCTTCTCTTTTAAGTGTGTTATTGATCTTATTGTGAGCTATTAATCTATGCATACATTTCATTTTTCAAAATAGTTTTGACCTTGTAATTTTTTTTTTTTATTCAAAGTCACCTGGATCTTCAGCTGAAATATCAGGCCTCAGTCCGTTTGAGCTCCACCACTTTCTTATAGCCCTCAGCAACCTCATATTAAGATCCACCTTCATACAATCAACATCACGATCCACAGCCAAGACACAATATAAAAAAGCTCTGTCGCTACCTTAATGCGAGGCTATTATAGATGTATGTGATCCATGGCAGCTGATAAGCACAATAACAATTACACCTGATTTATGAGCTACGCCACAAGCTCTCATTAAGAACGTTCTTCCTCTCAAGCCTTATGTTTTTTAATTCTCTATATCTTGGCATATCTGCAGCAAGAACACAAAAAATATCCTTTTTGTTTAGGGAAATGTTAGGGAAAGCATACGTGTATTTAATTTTCACCGACAGGATCAGACAAAGCTGTACGTGACCCCGTCCTCGTTCAACCTCATGGAAATCAAGGATGAAGAGCGGCTTAACTAGCGCCACCATCCCTTGCACTTATCTGGAATATTAAGGATGTGAATAAATTAGCTCGGGCTTTGACAGGAACATGTAATGTTTTCAGCTAGCCTCATTTTATAAAGACCAAACAACAGTGCTTTTCTGGGTATTCATGTTCTCTGCCACATACAGAACGCTTGCAGACAACATCTGGAATGACATTTTCCCAGAAATAGCTGTATCAAAGGTAAAAAAGAAAGGACCTCCAAGCTCTGCTGGTTAGAGACAAGCTCCAGACATTTAAACAAAGCTTTTGATGGCAAGAACGAGTCCTCTTAGAAGTGTTCCTGAGTGCAGTTCTGCATCCATGGTACTTACTGTGCCTCTGACAACAATACAGGGAACATCGCCCCACGATTTCCAACAGATGCAAGACAGCTAGACTGAAAGAAGTTCGAGAAAACGAGGGATTGATCAAGCCAATATCCATGCCAAGCACTGTACCGAGTGTATGCACCCTTTATCTGTCCATTAGAAGTTTGAGACCCCTTTCAATGTTCATCCGGTGACCAACACGGGTGACACCCAAGTCTACAAGGTCTTCCTTTTGGAGGTTGGGAAGGTGGGTGCCCTCAATTTCATTGTCCAAGAAGGCTTTCTTGTGTTCCTGCAAGTTGAGGCTTTCAAGCCAGTCGGCTACATCGTGCTTGGTCCAGAGTAGGATAGGTTTGTTGGCAAAGGGCTTGTCTGAAGCCTGAAACAGCGTGAGAGGGGACGGCGATCGACTGCTGACTGAGCTGAGGCTGTAGCATTGCTCCGCATTCAAAATGGGTGGAGATGGCAGGCTAAATACATCTGTTAATGTGGGGGAGGCGGCAGAGCCTGGCAGAGAAGAGCAACGACCAGATTCAGGAGGTGGCGAGGCTGGGCTAGAAGCCTGAAGGGGCAAGTGGCTCGGGGTTGTTGAGGGAACAGTGTTGCTGCATTTGGTATCTGAGGCTTGGGCCGTCCAATCTCTGAGAACACACACATACAGAAAGAGAAGTCAGTTGCAGAACAGGTTGAGGGACTCCTTAAGGAATAGAGGAAAGCTCTCTGGCATCATCCAACAACAACACTCACTATGTCAATACATGTGGCTCAAAGGACACCACTGCACTAATAATGCAAGGCAAATCGAATGAACAGATCACTCAATTATGTTCAGTGTTGAGACACCTTTATATCATTACAAATACAAGGACATTTGTTTGAGCAGGAATTCCGGTCTCAGAATGTGCTCCCAGATCTTCTGAAACATGAGTGTCCAACTTACTTTGCCTCTTTTTTTTTTTCTTGTTAGTCTGTTTCAAAATTCATGAGATAAACATATGGAGAGTTTGCAACCAAAATATATTTTTTCCGTTTCTGGACAAACACAGAGAGATTAGGAGATAAAATGACAAAAGAACGGCATGCTGGGATTTTCTCAGGATTGTAAATTCACCAATTCATATATTCTTAGAGGTCATGACTCTTAACAAACATTCTCAACAATTTATCTGGGTGTATCTTAATTTTATTAAAGCAGGCTTGTCCAGTCCTGCTCCTGGAGAGACAGTTCAGGGTTCTTTAAAATTACAGGCAGGTGTGTCCTAAAGGTTTGCTACTCCTGCAATAAAAGATTACCTCATAGCTGGAACATTTGGCTGAGGTTTAATCTTATTTCATTTGTTGTCTTTGATCTACCCCAGGAGTGTCCAATCTACACATTCTAGTTCTAGTCCACCAGAGATCTGTTTCTTTAGACAGCTTGTATATAGCTAGAGACGAGACACTGTCCTAATTTTGACCACATTTTTCTGATCTCATTTGCTTATTTTGTTCAGGAATGTTGCACAGGGGACAGATTAGGCTGTTATTGTGCTGCTCACCTTGATCCAATGCTCCTGGATCCTGCAGGTGGTGACCCTCCCTGTGTTGGAAATCTGTCCTTGTTCCTCTGGTGAAGTTTGGAGCTAAGCTCATTGATCACATTGGCTTTAGGATCTGCATTGAGGGGGTTCGGAAACTCATGGGGGTCCCACAGTTTAGTGCCTCGCTGAGCAAGCTTTTTGCGAAGCTCAGATTGTGCTCCACAACCCAGGGGTGGCGTAGGGGCTGGTGGTGGCTGTCCGAAGGATTCTATGCTCTCGTGTATCAAAGGGTCCCTGTAAAGTGCATTGCTTTTATTGATTATGGGCTTCATTTTTGGCTTTGGTGGAACAGGTGGTCTGTCCATCGAAAGAGTCTGGCCGTCTGCATAGGCTATACATGTGTCGTCAATTCCCTCTGATGAAAGAGTAGAGATACTGGACACTGTGGAAATTGTACTATTGGCCTCAAAGTGAGGGTCCCCACTGTTCCGACTGTCAACTTCCTCAATGCCTGAGTCCGTGATGGGCTCAAACATTTCTGGAGGTGGCGGAGGGTAGGTGTGAGGAGTCATGCAGTTTACAAGCCCCGAAAGACACTTAGACTCCACACCGTCAGTTGTAGAAGCACGTGAATGATAAACAGGTCCTATTGTTGCATTATTCTTTTTCTGCTTGAGAATCTCTACTACCTGGTCCTCAGGAACATCAATGCTGTTGGCAAACTCCAGAGGTGGAGGCAAGGGTTCAAACTCCTCATCAATATCCACCGAGGTCATTGGGGGAGGAGGAATGGTACAGGGAAACTCTACAGGCTCCTCCACAGAGGTGGCAGAGGTGAAGACGTTCCTCATATGAGGTGGCTGGGAGTTGTGGGCTGTACGTTTGATGTTGGAATCAATGGGTGCACTGTCCATTCCAAAGGACTCTTCTTGTTCTAATCTATCAGGCTGACTGTTTACTTGTGGCTTGGCCTTATCTTGTATGTGGACCATGAGGAGCCCCGCTGACTTCTGTTGCAATGTGTTATTGGTGTTTTTCGACTGCTCGGATGAATTACTTTCCTTTGCCTTTTCTGTTTCGTGATTGGACTCTCTTGTGTGTCTAAACAAGCCTCCACAATCTTTTGCTTGACCCACTGCAACTGTGGCAACAAAGTTGGATTCAATATTGGACCGTAGCTTGGTGTCTATGAAGAGTGGCTGTTTGAGGTTTGCTTTGTGAGGTTCTCCTTTAGGTGGAGGAAGAGGGGGTTGGACGTGCTCCTTCAGAGCTCTATTACTTGCAGCTAGACCCAGAGCCAAGGGTGGACAAATATCACGAGTCTTTCCTGATGTCTGGCTTTGGAAATCTCCATCATTGAGACTGATGGGACCGTCTGCATTGGGGAAGCTCCTGGTGCGTGTTGTGAGGGGCTCAGTTGTTGGTTCTGGGATGGTAAAGTCAGCCATGTTGCCTCCACTTCCAATTTGCTGGCCCTCTAATAAAGCAGCTGGTGGAGCCATAAGCTTTTGTAAACTCTTATCGCTGGCAAACATGCCTTCATCTATGGACATAGACTGGCGTAAACGAGGAGTTGGGATAAATGGATCCTCATCTCCGAGATCCATCGACAGGAAGGCTGGGGAGTTCTTGCGTGCTTCAAGCCGCTTCTCACGGTCACGTACTGCCCCTGCAATAGCAGCTGCAAAAGGGTTGCTCACGATGTGACTGCCGTCTGGCCGTAGTTGGCCTGGCTGCTCAGAGGCGCTAGTCTCAATTTCCATGCTACTGCCCCGGCTGCTTTTGCCACTACTGCTAGTCGAAGGCTCTTTGACAATAATGGTTGGTATTGGGATTGAACAGGTTTTCTCAGGGCTATCCTCAACATTTTGCTGCTTTACCAATATACCCTTCCTACGAACTGGTTTTGGTGGGATATACAAAGTTTTACCAACTATGTCTGAATATGGGTTCTCTGGCACATGGGCTCTGTTATGGGAACACATGTTTTGCTGGACAGCTGAAGGAGTTTGACAGTCATATTGTTCAAAGTTCTGGCGATGGTACCCGACTAGATCTCTGTCTATAGTGTGGCATCTGCCTGTTGAGTTCTGTGTGTAAATGGGCTGGTTGGGCTCATATCCTTGTGCCATAGGAGTACTGAGGTTGTGAGGTGGGGATGGAGGAGAAACGCCTGGAGGTGGGGGAATATCCTCAGATGTGTCAGGCATAGAGAGACTTCTGGTGAACTTGAGCAGTGGAGGTATGAGGAGCTTCGTTTCTTCTCCTGCAATTCCTTGGGAAAGAAACATGCAGCATGTTTAGACTAACACCTCAATAAGCTGCTTAGCTTTTGCTTAGTTTTTTTTTTTTACAGTCACATCTTTACATCTTCAGTTGAGCATCTAAAGTAACAAGGAAATATTTACCAATGGACTTTTGTCTTCTCATACAGCTTTTTGGCACACAAACATAACTTCCATGGGATCTTGCAGGAACACTAGGGGGAACTACAGCAACTCCTGGCCTTTCAGACATGGACGGCTATAAAACAGATTTGTTGATAAGCGCTCAATGTACACAAGACAGTTTTATGAATAATTATGCATCATGATTATAATCTAAAAGTGGTGTTCATGTTTAATTTTAAACTACAAGACAAAAGCAACTTACATTAAAATCCATGGGTGAGGCCAAAAAGCGACTTGAGGGGCGGGGCTTGATCGTGGCAACTTTGTCCAATGATCCTTTTTCATGCACAAGCTTCTGTGGCGTCACGGTCTCTACAAATTTATCTGCAAAAGGCAGAAATGTCCAAGGGACAGGAGAAAAAATTGCATTCCATCTTTAACACAGGCATCCTTTTCCTACAACAGTTTGGGGCAATTGATCACAGGGATACAGCGCAAAGGAAAAAAGTACGGAACATCCTTAGTGCTTGCATTGTAGTAAACAATAAATAATGATCATTTTCAGAGCCATGGACAGCAACACAACTGAATCCAATCTAATATTATGACAAAGAAAATAAAGAAAAATGGTAACTACAAGAAAACAAATACTTTTTTTCACATTTCACTAAAATAAACCTTTATTAAACTGTATTTAAATAAGAAATATAATTTTAGCTTACATCTTGATGGTTTAAACTTGTTTTAAAGTTTGTTTTGTCTTCTTTTAAATAATTTTAGGCCACCTTGCAGAGATTAGGTTGGGTTGAGAGCCACTGATCCAGCTCTATCACATCAAAACAACAACAACAACAACAAAAAACCTAAATCGAAAATTTTAGTAGCATGAGTTTTGACTTGCATAACATCCTGAACCTCCTTTACTTTGTTTGGTAGGATATTGGTAATGGGCACATATTGGCTGGAACGGTCTACAGATGTATTCGTAGTATCCACAGACCACTCAGATCTGATCATTAAAAAAAATCCATAGTATTCCTGGAGTCACTGTCATCACAAGAATGCAAAACTCAAAACTCAAAATTTATCGTTGCATCAGTTCTGGGCTCCCATATCAAAATTAGGTTTAGGAATAAAGAAATGTTTTTATTCACAGTGAAATAATGCAAAGACAATAAATAGACAATTCATATTGCATCATCCTTCCTGGTTGCACACAGCAACAAACGCACAGAGACCAGTGCAGGATGAATCACGAACGAATGCCTCATGATTAGGTTCTTTTGAAAGGAATATTCCCGGTTCAATGTAAGTAAGCTGAATCAACAGTGGCATAATGTTGATTATCACATTATGACACATGACTACCCAATCCTTATGATGTTTTTACCTTTTATATAAGGACTGAAAGGACTGAACTGTCACTTCATTTATACCAGGCATTCAAAAAAACCAAAAGGACTGGATTTCGGGAATTAAACTCTTGGGCTGAAATAGGGCTGGACAATAATTCAATATCAATATGTATCGCGATATAATTTTTTTCAGTAACGGTGATATGATTTTTAAACACATTTCCGATATTTCGATATACATTACCAGTGTTTCCCATACATTGATTTATTTGTGCCGTTTGACTTCGTTGAATAAACATGAGCACTGCACGTTTCAAAATCATAACACAGTGAATATGGGTGTTTTATATGAATGTATCTCTGAAGGGAATTGACTGTCTTCAGAAAAGTTTCGATGGCATTTTCATTTGATCTGATAAAGAAGCATTCATGAGCGGAGCTGCTTTGATTACAGCCATTACATTCAGTATAATCTTTAAAATTTTAAGGGGAAAGGAATTATAGAAATTAATACTTTTATTTAGCAAGGATGCTTAAAATTGATCAAAAGTAATGATAAAGGCATTTATAATGTTACAAAAGATTTCTATTTCAGATAAATAGTGTTCATATCGATATTGGAATTATATCGTATCGACCGAAATTAAGAAATATATCGTGATATCAATTTTGGCCATATTGTCCAGCCCTAGGCTGAAAACGGGCCAACACAGAAGTAGAAAGCAGCCTTTAGGGACCGATCACTAACCCTAATCAAAGCAATAGTAATAACGATGCTTGACTTAAACACTACTCAAAAGAGAGAACTTATTGTGAAATAGCAGTAATTTATCAAGTTTAACTCACCTAATTCTTCTAGTTCAGATGTCATGGACTTGGATCGCATTGAGAGTGCAGTTGTCGGGGCTCTCTTGGGTGGAGGAGGAGCTACGACAAAAAAATAAACTGTAACTTAAGTTCTATTATTTCTAAGCCTGATAAGAATCTCAAAGCAGGCCGTTTCCATCCATCATTTGTCCTGACTACACATGCAGTAAGTGTTTAGTACCTTTTTTACAGGTTTTGTCGTCTTGTTCGGGATTCCTGCTCACCGTCACCACTTTAAGGACGAGTCGGTTTCCTCCATGTTTAATCATGTTAACGACCTGCCGGTGTCCCATCTTCACCACGTTCTGATGGTTGACCTGCAACAGAAATCACGGTGCTTTTATTATAATATTTCAGCAATTACGGCATCCGTATTTAAAATCACACACAAATTAATAATTCTTCCGAGTCTGTTCTTTTCAGTGAATTGGCCAAACCATTGTGCAAAACGGTCTGAAACCATTTGTGATTCAGTTTGATCGCTCTCTCTTTGAATCACTGCACTGTCAGTCAGTAACATGGCATCAGGACACTTAAGAACCAGCAGGGTTCTGGATGAAGAGGACATTGAATTACAATCATTCGAAACCAAAGCTACTGAGGTTTAACTCGTGTATGTATATTACATGTAGGCCATGAGAACATATGGATATTTGACCTGATTTCTAAACACAGTGCTGGTCGACCTACATTTGTGTTACAGTTTCAACCCTATGGCCATTACATATGGCCAAGTTGAGATACAAGAATATCTTTAAAAGTCGAAATAATTTGATTTAAACAAGATGACAGTGAAAAAAAAAAGTGGCCAAATTTGCCTGAATACACCCTAAATTTCAAGACGTTCTCATTTGGATGTCTTCTTTATCAGGATAATAAAGAGCATACGACAGTGAAGATGTAAATAGAGGTGATGAGAAGAGCAAATATCATTCATGTGACAAAACAAACAAACCCAATTCCACAAGGAAACGCTCACTATAAACGCTCTCTGTGAACTCAGGGTTTGATGTAGAGTTTGTGATTAACATGCACTGTAAAAAATTACCGTGAATTTAACGGTAAAAGTGTGTGAATGACACTGTGCACCTTCTATATACAGTATGTTATTTTTTAAAAGCTGCTTGTGATGGGCTTTGGTTCATCGTGTGACTTTCTCATCACCTCCTGCATTTGGTGGTTATCAGTGTATCACAAAGGTACAAAACAGATTTTAGTTCTTCATTAGGTTGGTATATTAACATTATATCAGTTAATGAAATTTTGGTATTTAACTGTAAATTTAAGTTAAAACTGTAAAACCTAAAATGTTGCTACCGTATTTTTTACGGTAAAATTCCGGCAACCACAGCTGCTGTTTTTTACCGTAAATTTTATGGAATTTTTTTACCAGTGTGTGAACATCTGCAGTGAGCAGCCGAACACGAAACGTGGAGAGAGTCAGTCTGAGGCAGAAGGCAGCTGAAGGAAGATATCAATCCAGGAATAGTTCAGTGAATAATTTCATTTATGTAGGTTTACATTGAGCTTAAAAAAAGAAAATGTAAGCTAGTTGTTTGGTTACACTTTATTTCGATAGTCCACTTTAGACATTCTACTAACTATAAGTAACTTTGTAACTACATGTCAACTACATGTCAACTAATTCTCATTAATTTGCAACTACATGTCTACTAACTCTCAGAGTAGACTGTTAGGGTAGGTTTAGGGTTAGTAGAATGTTGACAAAGAAAGTGTTAGAAGATATTAAGCAGACAGTCTACTAATACTCTACTAACTGCTAGTTGACATGTAGTTGCAAAGTTACTTACTGTTAATAGAATGTCTAAAGTGGACTATCGGATTAAAGTGTTACCAGTTTTAACCGCTTTATATTTTAGTTCTAAAGTTTGTTTTATTCATATTAAATTGAAAGCTTAATATTAATTGTGAAAATATAATTTCTCACATTGAACAGCCTTCGGGGGTCTCAAATTGAACCGATTTAGTTTAGAGCTGGAGATTTAACACGTTATGGAGTCACAGAAGTGTCACTTTGTTCCAGTTATGGTTTGAGATCTCTAAAAATACAAAATCTGCTCAAATGAGTTGTGTTGCATGAGTTATCATGGCAGTGAACACCACTGAAAAACAACCAAACCCCCCAAAAAACCTAAAAAGTCATTTAAACTCCCTTTGTGAGCTGGTTCTCAGGTCTTATTCTCAATATTTGGTCTCACTTTAGTTTGGGGACCAATTCTTACTAATAACTATTACTTTTGCCTCAACATACTCCTATTTTGCTGCTTATTAATAGTTAGTAAGGTAGTTGTAACATTTAGGTATGGAGTAGGATTAAATGATCTAAAATATGATCATGCAAAATAAGGCATTAATATAATATGTGCTTTATAAGTGGTAATAAAGAGCCAATATGCTAGTCATATGCATGCTAATAAACAACTAGTCAATAGCGAGAACTGGTCCCTAAACTAAAGTGCTACCCAATATTTATATTTACAGAGTGATTCCTTTTGGTACTCTGCGTTTAATGCTTCAGATGCAATTACGATTATATTTATTTATTTATTTTTTAAATATTGTCAACTCTTTCCTTCTCCAAATTACCAAAATAATGATTAACTGAACTGTTAACAAACCAGAATAAATGGAACAGGAACCAGAATCTGTACATTTCTTTTGATTTCCATCCCTACAGAGAAGCATGAGATACAGCTTCATGTACTACGGTGACCGGGAGGGGACTTGTTCGGTTTTATTATTATTATATTAACTGGTTAGGGCTATATTTTTATATTTATTGTGTATCACTTTACCTAATCACTTTACCTAATTAACATTCTGTACGATTATACTAGTATTTGCCACCATGTTTTGCAAATACTGTAAACACCTAACAATTTTGACAATAACGTTTTGACTTTATGATTGTATTTATGCCCGTGTGTGACGATAAATGAGCGTGTTGTGTTTTCATTTACAAGTGAAACTACGTGAATGATTCATTCCTCAATGAAACACTATAGTATTTATAATTAGTCTATTAATTAGCCGAAATAAAATAAAATAAATGTTATATTCAACCTTTAAACCTTAAAATTCCAGTCAGCATAATCAAAGCTTTAATGGCATGTCGAGCATTTACAGTAGGCTGTTATTCACAAAACTATTCAGAACGTTAAGTAAAGAGATAGAAATAAAGGAAAAAAACGAATATAAAAATATAACCAATAGGCTAATAATAAGTATATTAATAATACACAAATATTACTGAAAAAGACGATCAGTTAATGGACTTACAAGACTGGGGGATGGATAAAAATGTTTTCTTGTAAGCCTATTTTATTTTATGTACTTTATGTAACATTTATTCATAATGATGAACTTCATTCGAATGCCATCTACATCGCGCGCATACAGTCCGGTAGCCTAGGCCTGCCGCCTACGGTTAATAATATAATAATGTAATAATTTCTATATTAATTAATATAATAATTTCCAAATTCAAAAATTTTTTTTTATAAATCCATCTCTGATATAATCCCGGGTTACTATCGTCACGCAGGTTTGTTAACGCATTTAACTCGTGGCCACGAGAAATGGATGTCGTTCCCTCAACACCACGAGTTAATATGACGTTCCCCGAATTAATATCTC